AAGTTCACAGAAGGCAAGAAAACCTAGTCTCCAGAAGATCGGTCAGGCTGGAGTGACTGCCCCTCAGGGCCATCTCTAGGTCATGAAACTGGCTGTTTTAATTTTACTAGAGCATAGGTGATCCATGTTGTTTGCATTTATTGAGAGATCGTTTGCAGCTGTGGGATATGCAACAAAAAAGGATAAGAGACTTTAAGATCCAAGCAAGTAAGCACAAGGTACTCCTGTACAATTATTTCAGAAAGAAGGACTGTAAACTGCCTGAGTGCTGGAGTTTAGCAAACAAATGAGACTCTTCAATAAACATGACAAAACACAAAAATATATTGAAGGAAAAAAAGAAGAGTATTTAGAGAGCAAATGACAGGGGGCGATAATAATTCTAATCTAATGTCTATACAGTAGTAAATTTGGATTCACATTTTAGCATTATTACTTACTATTTTGTGTCCTATTCATTATTTAACCCCACCAAGCCAGGAGGTATTACTTTTTAAAATATAAATAATTCTACCTCTCTCTTGGAGATACTATGAGCATTAAAAGAAGAGAATGTACAAGTGTCAAGCTCTGAATCTCATCTGAAAACATTCAGTAAATGGTAGCTATTAACTTGAAGAGGTTGCTTGGTGGTGTGGAATGTAGGGATTGCACCATCCCAAACGTGATGCCCCTCTAATAACTCTAAAAGTGTCATCATGGGGGGGGTGGATGGACAAGCTCCTCTTAGATGATTTATAGCCTCTGAAACCCACTGGAGGCAGCTTGAAGTTGCTTCTGACTCACCTGCAATGAATTTTTAGTTTATTGCTAGAGGAGAGTCCCTGGATGGTGCAAAGGTTAATGAGTTCAGCTGTTACTTTAAAGACTGAGGCTTGAGTTCACCAAGATGTGCCTCAGAAGATAGAGCTGGTGAGCTACTTCTGAAAGATAAAGTCATTGAACCCTATGGAGCACAATGTTACTCTGACACAGAGGTCACCATGGGTAATATCAACTCTATGGCAACATGTTTGTTGGTGTTTCAGTAGTAGGGAGGAAAGGTAAAAGAAAAAGGAAGGGAGATGACACAGTGCCTAGTGAGGGACAAAACAGAACACATAATAATGTAACAAGGCAGTGTTCTGATGGAAAACAGTTATCACAGATACAAACATATTCTATAAATGTTCTTACTTCACTTTCCACAAGACAAAATCAGATCATTTCAAAATGAGAGAAAGTGCCATCATGGTGCCAAAGAAGTTCACTGAATAAATTATGACCACAGTTTTTTCATCTATAAGACAGAGAACAATCTCAAGTTTATTATTTTTGGCAGGTATAATCCATTTATTTTTCAGGTAGGGCTACAAAATTGGTCAGATACATGACCACGACTAGAAGTGTACAATTGTAGGTTACAAAGTTTACAGGATTGGTTCTAAGACTTCAGCCACTTGGCTATGTGGATCTGAGTCAGTCACTAGAACCTCAACTTTTAACTTAAATATGTCCAGGTAAGCTCTCTGGTTCTTCCGTGCAAGTCCCAAGGGGGAATTGTCCCTCTCTGGATTTGTCTGAGAGGCCCTGTGGCATGATACATTTTAGATTAGACTACTAATCTCAACTCTACCATCCACTCTGTGGATGAAGATACGTGGTCTACAGCCTGGGAAACCAGTTGAAAGTGATTATAAGCAGTGGTTTTGGAGGCTGTTATCTCCATTCAATGAAACTATTGACATACTCTTTAAGGGGTTGCACTCCTAAACCAAAGGTCATCATTCTTTGGCAGTTTTAATTGACCAGGGGCTCTTTGGGAAAAAGATGGGCAATCTTGATCTTTGTCATTTACAGCCTCAGAAACCCAATGGAGTGTCAGCTATGGTCCATTCTGACTGGGCAAAGAGAGAGAGAGGGAGTCTATTTTCAATGAAACTTTTCCTGAGGCACACTACACCTCCTTAGGTTTATCCTGGGCTTGCTAAGGGTAGCCACCACAACAACAGCAACAAAAGAAATCAAACCAAAACCCCCCTCTATTCTGTCCCCAAGTAGATTCCAACTCATAGCCATCCTGAAGAGCACGGTAGACCAGCCTGTCCATAGGGTTTCTGAAACATAACTCTCTGTAAAAGCAGACTGCCTCATAGCCACTTGACTAATTCAATGGTCAGAAGGAATCAAATGGAGTTGGAGCTCCCACTGTAGGCTTCACACTCACAAAAAAAAGGCATTGATTCATAACAGACCTGCTGCATTTGGTCTCTTGGGCTGTAACTTGTGCTTAGTTTCTTAGATGAAAATTGCCCGTCTTCCTCCCAAGAAGCCACTGGCGGATTCAAACTGCCAGAGAGGCACAGCTTTCTGTGCTTCTAAACTACCAGGTTTGAACTCACTACAGATTATGCTGTTAGAGTTCCTCAAGCTCTAAAACAGAAGCAATATCTAGGACCAACCAATTTAGTCAAGGCATTTGATTAGCTATGAAAGCACAAAGTTTTTTCTGACTTGGACAACAAAGACCCTCCCTGGGCAATCTGCCTTTGGTTTTGCACTCATAGGTGTCTGAAAGGCCTCCATAGAAGGCTTTGCTTCTTGGGATCCTTTGGTCTTCAAATAGAGAGCTGAGAGCTCTATACTCACCTTTCTATGGAACTTGCTCAATTGAGTGCTTGGAACTTGTATGATGGAAATGTATATAAGAGGTAGAGCTAATGAATATTTAGTAACTAGAGGGGGGAAAAGCTCATGTTTAGGGTAGTCATTACAGTACCCTATCTTGTAGGGAGAGCTCTGGTGGCTTAGTCGTAAGGAAGTGCATTGCCAATGTGAAGATGTGCAGTTCAAATACCCTGGTGCTCTATGGGAGAGAAACAGGCAGTCTCCCTCCTGTGCAATTTACTGCTTCTGAAAACCCACCAGAGAGTCAGCTATGGGTTAGTACTGACTCGATAGCACACACCAACAAGCTTGGAGGGTACCTTCTGAGAACCCACGTTCACCACAGCCCATGATAATTAATACTAATTAAATACCTTTGGAGAGACTGAAAGACCTTTTTGCATCATCTGAGGTACCTTCTCTCATCATAGAAAGCTGAGTCCCCATAGCAGGCCCAGGAGGCAGAAGCCCAAAGCTGCCTCAGTGTCTCGTTGGAGCCTGACAGACTACTTCTAAGGTTCGTCTAAAGTTCTATAGAGATCTAAAACTTCTGTAGATCAAATTATTACACACTAAAATCTCCACACCACATATGTACAAATACACACACACGTACACACCCTATGCCTTAAGAATAAGCCTTTCACCTGTTGTCTCTGTACAAGTTATTGAGCTGAAGACCCTAGCATCTTTTTCCTGATGCAAAGACTGACCTCAGCCCCAGGGGCGCATCCACCATGCTAACCTTTCACCATGCCAGGGAGAATATAGGAACAAGAACACAGTAACATGATCCCCCATTAGCATAAAATAAAAACAACCCAGTCATGTTTTCCATGGACTTTTCCAACCTCAAACTAAAAGCATGAAGCAGAGAAAAAGATAAAAATATACACGTGCACTATAAATAAATACAGATATATATGCACTGTCTGGGTATGTACAGCCAAGGACCATGACCCCGAACGAGTATGTGGCTCAGAGAAAACCAGGCAGCCAGATGCAGAAACCTGAGCCTTTTCTCTTTCAGTGTGAGAGCAGACAGGAAGGAAAAGTATCCTGATTACACGGCTTACGAGGGGTTAAGTCCTCAGCCACCCTATTCTAAAGTGATTTATGATGATGTGTAGTGTTTCAAAACTTTCCTCCACCCCAGAGTGCAGCCCATCCCCTCTCCACAGCGTCCACCCTCAACATGCTGAAATGGGACATGGAACGGAGGCGGTGTTTTGCTGATCTGTTAAATTCTTAGTGAAATTTCCTTGATTTCCAGTGGTCGCTGTAGTTTGAATTTGGTTTGGAGCAAAGCGGAGGTCATCTTGACTGTTTCTGGGACTGAATCTGGGCAAGAGAAAGAAGAGGCAGAGGGAGCAGTAAAAGAGGAGAGAAAAGGTGGGGAGAAATCAAGGGAGGAGAGAATCGCAGGAAGAGGAAAAAAAAGTTCTTTTTCAACATCACATTCCTGTGTTTTCCCTCAGCCTGGAAAACATATTAATCCTGGTGCTCTTACGCTCGGAAACAAAGGAACTAAGCCAGACTGTGGGGGAAAGGGTGATAAGAAGGATCCCGGAACTTAAAAAAAGAGAGGTTCAGAAATAGCCTGGGCTTTGCTTGGAGGACCATCCTGTGTGTGAGAGAGGGGCACCCAGAGACACACACAAGACCAAGCAGAAGCTACAAATGGAGATGCAAAGATTTAAAAGGACAGCTCCTCTCACCTCAGCCTTCTTGTCAAGAAGGTAAAAAGAGCGGCAAGACGAAGAGAAGAAAAGTCACCCAGCTAAGAGAACAGGACCACGGTGCTACTTTGAAACTTGGAGCCGCTGCCAATCCCCTTTGTGCTGCTCAACCTCCAGAGAGGAAAAGTATTTCTTTTAGGAAGCTGTCCTGGGATCAAACTTCAGCTTTCTTTTTAAACTCCCTGCATTCCATCTCTATGAGCCACAATGTAAGTGTGTAATCCTTTCTCTCTGTTGGGGTGTTTGTTTCCTTGTTGCTGACTTGAAGCACTGAAATGTGAGTGCTGTCATAATTTATGGGCTCTCTGTGAATGTTCTGTGGAGCATCCAGAGAGTCAGCTGAAACTTGGTGTAAGCATGCTGACTGGGGAGCCCGATGCACTGCCTGCTTAATGGGACTCTCCCTGCGAAGCAGTGACAAATTACAGGGGCTTAAAAGCAATAGGATCTCATCCCATTTTCCATTCCCTGACCTCCTCCGTTTTCCTATGACCCTTCCTTTTTTCTTTCCCTTGGCCAAGATAGAGAAAAAGTGATTGCTCAGCTCTGTTTGCAATTAAATTAATTTCTTTTTGTTTTTTCCTCCCGCACCTTCTTCCCCTCTCTGTTTGTTCTATGACCCTCCTTCTCAAAGTGGATTGCACAATGATGTGGAGAATGGGACCCAGCATCGCCATGCTGTTGGCTTTGTGGCTGGTTTGTGGATCCGAACCCCACCTCCATGCCACTGAAAGAGGAAGCCGCGGAGGACGGAAATTGTCTCTGGTTTCCCAAGTCGGCAGTAGGCCAGCTCGGTTTCTGAGGCACACAGGGAAGTCTCAGGGAATTGAGAGATCCACTCTGGAAAAACCAAACCTTCAGTCCCTCCAAAGGAGGAGGAGTGTGCCAGTGTTGAGACTAGCTCAGCCAAGTGCCTTGCCAGCCCCTGTGGGCGTCAATGGGGCCTTGGGAAGGCCTGTACAGAGACCAGCAGCCAGGAGCTCCCCTCGTGAGATGGTCCGTGATGAGGGGGTCTTGGCTCGGACAAGAATGTTGCGTTTCCCCTCTGGGTCTAGCTCTCCCAACATCCTTGCCAGTTTTGCCGGGAAGAACAGGGTGCTGGTCATCTCAGCCCCTCATGCCTCAGAACCCTACTACCGTCTCATGATGAGCCTTCTGAAGGACAACGTGTATTGTGAGTTGGCAGAGAGGCACATCCAGCAGATCATACTGTTCCATGAAGCTGGTGAGGAAGGCGGAAAGGTCCGGAGGATCACCAGTGAAGGCCGCATCCTGGAGCAGCCCCTAGACCCCAGCCTCATCCCCAAGCTGATGAGCTTCTTGAAGCTGGAGAAGGGCAAGTTTGGCATGGTGCTACTGAAGAAGACGCTACAGGTGGAGGAACGCTACCCGTATCCTGTCAGACTGGAGGCTATGTATGAGATCATCGATAGGGGCCCCGTGCGAAAGATGGAAAAGATGCGACAGAAAGATTTTGTCCAGAAATGTAAATCCTCTGGTGTAGAGGGCCAGGTGGTAGAGGAAGGGATCAACAGTAGTGGAACAGAAGGAAGACCCAGCCTGGGCAGTGAGAAGAGGAAGGAAGACCCAAGAAGGGCCCAAGTCTCCCCAACCAGAGAGAGTCGGGTGAAGGTGACAAGAAAACTGGCCACCACGACAGGGGCTCCTCCTTCACCTCCGCCAACCCCAAGGGCCACCACACCTCCTCTCCCTCCAGTCACAACAGTCAATCGGGGGACATCTCGGGTGGTAACTGCAGCTCCAAGGCTGACCACCACCACTGCCATTCCGACCACCCAGAGGCCCAGGACCACCTGGGTGCATACGTCCTCTGAATCTCACAGACCCTCCTTCACAACTGAGGTGACCACTGCCAGGGACCCCTCATCCTCAGAGAACCTTTATCCTCCACCCAAGAAGGAGCAACATAAGGAGAGGCCACAGACCACCAGGAGGCCCAGCAAGGCCACCAGCCTTGACAGCTTCACGGCTGCCCCTCCCACCACCATTTCAGAGCACAGCGTGAGGGGGGGCGCTGGCCGTTTCCGGGACAACCACACAGACAGGAGGGAACAGGGCCACCGAGACCTAAATGTGGTGCCAGGCCCGCCCAAGCCAGCAAAAGGGAAACTTCCCAAAAAGAAAGCCCAGGACAAAATCCTTAATAATGAATATGAGGATAAGTATGATTTCAGCAGGCCCACTGCCTCTCATCTGGAGGAGGAACTGCAGGTGGGCAATCTTCCCCCTAAAAAAGCAAAGGACCCCAAAAAACATGAAAAGCCTGAGAAACCCGAGAAGAAGAAAAAAGTGAAGAATGAGAAACCAGATAAGCTACTGAAAAGTGAAAAGCAAGTGAAGAAGGACAAGGCTGAGAAAAAAAACAAACAGGAGAAAGAGAAGAACAAGAAGAAAAAGACTGATAAAACTGAGCAAGACGGTTACCTGAAACCCACCACAAAACATTTCACTCAGCCTACCAAGAAGTCAGCCACTGACCTGCTGGCATCCTTTGAAGGCAAACGGAGACTCCTGGTAAGTAAATTCCTCCTGGGCCTTATTATATGGCCTGAGGCAGGACATGCTTGTGTCTGTTACTCTTGTAAAATTACCTTTGTTAGCAAATGAGACTTGCTAGATGAACTGGGGGTCTCTGACTGACTAACAGTCCACCATGTGGGTGTGCCAGAACTTTAAAATGCTGAAATGCTTGGCCTCACCTGCAGGCTGAGGGCTCAGTGTGTTATGAATCAGTTTTATGCTGGAAGTTATGATGGCCTCTCACATCTTGAGGAGACACATGTATAGAATGCTTGGGGCTCTTATGACTTTCTTTTCTTCACAAGTGAGTGTAGCAAATGGGACCTGTCAGATGAACTGGGGGAGTGGGGCATCTCTGGTTCACTAGCATGTGGACCTGCTGGAATTCTAGGTGCTATAGCACTGGTCTTTCCATATGCTGTACAAAGGTAACTCATGGTTGCTGTGATGCTGAACACTGTGACCCTGATGTACCAAATGCGATATTGGTCACCCATATTGGACAGTGTTTGGTGGAGCACCCCAATGAAAACAAGCTTGGGAGCAGGAGTGGCACCCACGTCCGAAATAGCTTGCCTCCAGAAAGCCTAGAACTTGGAGAAATGGAGAAAGTTATACAAGTGTTCAGGTCTTTCGTTCATAGGGTCGCTATGAGTCTCCTATGACTCGATGGCACTTAACAACAACAACAACAGAAGCCAGGTTATGGCTGACCTTGTACCATGTCAAGGTCAGGAGATTGCTCAGGAAAGGGTAGCCAGGCTGGTAGGCTCTGTTTACTTAGATGCTCTCTTAGCCCTAGGTACCGAGTCAGAGCTTGGGGTACCTGACACCTGAGCAGAGGTATGCACCTGTAATCTTCTGCTTCCACACCAGTCAGTAGTCATCCACATTTTTTTGCCCTCTTCCAAGGTGTACTTCTGGATATGGCTATTTCTTTGACAAGTTCAATAAGTAGGAGGAGATTGGAAACATTCTTAGACTGGAAGGCATTGACTCCTGTCATAACTGCTAGAGCTTAAGAACTAGAAGCAGGTGTACAGGAATAATGGCAGGGTCCTGCCTCTCTGCCCTAATTAAACCTGTAAGTTGAAATCTCAAAGGTTAAGGCAGGCTGAGTGGGGAGCACACATGAGTGGTAATGTGGATGGCTTCTTACTGGTATGAAGACTGCCTCTTCATCGCTGCCTAGCCACCAGTAAAAAGCCTAAGAAATGAAGGGTGGTGAATTTGGGGGTGTTTCTAAAATGGTCCATACTCCTGAAGTTGGAGTCTAGATTTCCTAAGTTCTCTGGAGCCCTTCTTAAAAGAGCATGTTCATGTGTGTGCTCACATGTGCGCACAGATGCCACATGTGTATGTGTGAAAAGGGAGGACAAGCCGTCTTTATTTCAGTTTGTCTGTGATAGTGATGGCTAATAGTCTTTGTCAAGTCACAGATCCCCTGCCTATTTCAGGAGGAAGTCTGATGGCATTTCAGGTTAAATGTTGAGATGCTGACTAAACAGTTAACAGTTCCAGCCCACCAGCAGCCCAGTTGGAGACAGAGGAGGTAGTCTTCTTTCATGCAAATGTATAACCCTCTGAAACAGAATGAAGGCTTGCTATGAGTCAGAACCAGTGAAAGGAGGAAAAAGATTGTGATGCAACGGATACAAAATGAAAGATCAATAAATTAACTAATAACATGGGGCAGAAATGATTCTCTGAGATTAGCAAGTGAAAGGGGCCGCTGAGGACAGAAGTCATCCTGCTGAAAGCACTGGTGACACCCCCCCTGTAGTGCCCCCACCAAAAGAGACAGTCACAGTTCTCCCAAGGGTCTCCTTTGCTGGTATCTTTGGTGTTTTTAATTGGGTTTACATTTGGATTAATAATCTAAGCAGAAAGACTCTGTTGCTTGCTTTATCTTTAGTGATATTACAAAGTTGAAACATGCATTTAAAATGTTATTCAGAGTCACTTATGAGAGTTATCATATTATTTTTAATAATTTATCATATATAATTAATTATAATCTTTAAGTATTTTATATGGATTATTTTCTATTTACTTTTTAATTATAATTAATTTCTTTTAAAATTAATTAGCTGGTTTAATTGATTTTTAAAAACCTATGTTGGGATGGAGCTCAGGTTTGGGTGTATTCTAGAGTTCATGTGTGTATATCTTTTGTGCTATGAGCTATATATTTAAAAAATACATTTAAAATGCATTGATTTACATGTTTTCCTTACCAGACCCTTAGAGCATATAAACTTAGGTTATTGTTACATGTCACCTGTCAGAACCAACTCATAACTTACCTTCCAGTAGGCCTTGATGCAGTAAATTGCAGAAATTGACCATTTGTCTCCCACAGAGCAACCAGTGAGTTTGAACTGTGTGCCTTTGGGCTGGCAGGGCAACTCCTTACCACTAAGCCACAACAGCTCCCTAAATTAAGGTTAGCAGAGGATAAACTGTTAGAGCAGTTTAACGATTACTTGGATACTTAAAAAGAGTATATAAACAAATCTTCCAGACAAAATCAAAAGAATTGTTGATTTGAGAATAGAACTCTATCTAGCACTTGGCAGTGTTTTGTTTATTAGGGGTCTGGTGGAGAGACTTCTCTGGTCTCTGTCAAGAAGCATTTGGGTCATGCTGTGTGCTCTCCTTCTGAATACCTGTGTCCTGTTTAAGGACATTACTTGACCCTGGCCATTTAGTCAACAGGCAAATCTTGTGCATGGCTAGGATTAACGGGGGAGGGGGTATCACAAGAAAAATGACAGGATTGAAATTATGCAGCCACCTGGCAAATGCTCTCATTGCCCCTAGTTTGTGAATCAAAAGAAAGAGGGTTTCACTACCACAGCGCTGTTATTAGTCATTCATTCCCCTCCTCCCATCTCACCACCCCTTAGTTAGGAATCTGAAATCCCAGCTGGGCCTTTTCTGCTTTTAACAGTGTCCCTGGTTGTAAATTTTTAGTAAATGAAACTCAAATGACAGCTTCTGCTGATGTCATGCAAGGCAAAGCAGAAACCAGCTGGAACTGCTCTTGGCAGCGTGGGCTCTTTGGGGCCAGCAAGAGAACAAGGTTTATTAGAAAGATAGCACAGTCCTCGTACCATTCCTATGTGCTTCAACCCCATGCTTCTTTCTGAAGAGCTAATGACTAAAGTGAGAATGGAAATAGAAAATGGAATAAAGATTCTTTGTAAAAATCTAAATGTGTAGAGCAGAAGAGTCTGTTTGAACAGACTTCAAGAAAAAACAGTTTCTGGGTGAAAGACCTCGTGAGTGCCATTTGCGCTCTTTCCAGACTTACGTCTAAGGTATGGCAGATATGGCCTGGGCCCTGGGCACCACTTGGAGAGGCGGGGCTCCACTAAGAAGTTTCTTTTAACCATCACAATTTCCATCACCAGCTGTGAAAGATCATTCCGCAATTTAAAACTAATTGCCATAGGCGGTATTTTCCACAGGTATTCCACTGCCTTTTTAAACTATTTTTTTCCCGTCAAACCTGGGCTATGTTATTCAGGAAGCTCAGTGTTTCAGTTAATATTCATAAAGGCTTAGCACTCGCCAAGTTGTTCAAGGACTGAGCATATTCTCCAAGTGGCCTCGATTTACCAATGTGCACAAGCGTAAATGAGGTTTGCAGCCCAAGCAATCACACAGGTAACTAACTCTAGTTTTGCATTAACATGAGCCTAACTATAATTCTTCATAAGTCACTCGCTTTACATTTATCAATACCATATTGGGGGTGGGGAGGTTATGTGATGACTATCAATTACTTGCACTGGGAATGAAGGTAGAGGTTGTGGCTAAGGAAAAAGGTGTCGAAGAAGCTACAGGTCAATCTTTTGATTCACAAACTGGAGGGGGAACAAGAGTCTTTGTGCACAATTCCATTTCAATCCTATCATGTTACCCATGATTTTTCTTTTCCTGGCTAATCTTAACCATGGACAGGCTTTATTTTGCCCTGTTGTCTAAATGACCAGAGTCAAGTGATGCCTTTAAGCAAACTGATCACAGTCCCATGTACTCAAACTGAGTTTCTCTCAACTTAACCAGAGAGAAGATATCATTCAAGGGCCATAGCAAGCTCTTTGTAGCTTTAATTCTTACAATAACCCTGTGAAGAAGGGCTTTTAAAACCCCATCTTACAGATGACTAGGTTAAGGAAATGCCCAAGTTGTGTAGCTAGTATACGGCCATGTTCATATAGCACATACATCTTTTTTTTTTCTCTCTCTAATCGAGATTTTGTTGTAAATTTATAAAGAACTTGGATTTCCATTCATTCATTGTTGCATATTTTTCTCCCTGCCCCTTTCCCCCAGTTTGTTTTTTTTCTTTAGGGAAAAAGTTCTATCATTGTTATACAGCCCACCCTACAGACCAATTTACTATGCAGCTCTTATTCTGGACTCTTGTCACACTAATAATACCTAATCATATATTCTTTTCAAAATTCCTAGCTCTAAGAGAGATGCAAATCATAACAACTATGAGATAGCATCTCACCCCAATAAAAATAGCAAAATTCAACAGAACAGCAAACAAATGCTGGCGAGGCTGTGGAGAAACTGGAACCCTTATTCACTGTTGGTGGGAGTGTAAAATGGTGCAACCACTGTGGAAGGCTGTATGGCGCTTCCTCAAATAGTTGAAAATAGAAATACCATTTGACCCAGCAATTCCACTACTGGGAATATACCCTAAAGACCATAACTGCTATCCAAGAAGGTATGTGCACATGCATGTTTATTGCTGCTTTTTTCTTAATAGCAAAGAATTGGAAACAACCCAAGTGTCCATCAACAAAAGAATGGTTAGAGAAAATGTGGCACATCCTTGACTTTAAAGTTCCTGCTTCATCCTTACCTCCCACCCTCCTGAAAGGAGGAGCTTCTAAATAGGCTTACACCTTGAAATGAAGGAGCCACCTAGAGGTCTTACCTTTAGCAAATTCATCTGCACATTTCAGAGT